CACGGGCGCTCATGCGATAGCAGCACGGGACAAAACGTGCACGCTTTGTAAAGCGATCGACGATGACCAAGATAGCATCATGGCCGCGCTCAGTGGGTGGGCGGAGGGGACCAATGAAATTCATCGAGATGGACTGCCAACGACCCTCGGGTATGGGTAAAGGCTGAAGTAACCCATACGGGAGGTGGTCCGTTGTCGGGACAGAAACCCCTGTAAGGGTTTCTGCCCGAGTTTTTTATAGGCAGACACTGCCCGACCCTTGCTTGGGTTGAAAGACTTGATGAGATTGACGTGCCAAAGGTTATTCAGACCAACCCTATAACTGAAAGACCTAAGGCCTAATGTTGTTGACATAGAACGTCGTTGACGTGAGACGACGTCGACATCCGTTTAAGACAGCAAGAGTCAGCACTGTCATCCACAGTTCTCGACGAGGCCGCAGTAGTGTGCAGTCGTGGAAAAACTAAAGTTAGACCTAGTCTACCTAAAATAATGTCAGTCGCGCGATTCAGGGCCTAAGTGAGCTAAAAAGAGGTGTGCGCCGGGTATAAAGCCGCGACGCAGGGGGAATAGGAAGGAGAGTTTAATTCTAGGGCCGCGGGGCTTGACGCCGAGCCAGGGGGTTGATAGGCCGATGCCAAGGTCACGCGGCCAACTTAGCGTGCAGGGCCGGCAAGGCCACAGGCAGACAGGCAGGGTTGGCAAGGCCACATGCAGGCGAGGCCTGCAGGGCCGCAGGCAGGCCAGGCCTGTAGGGCTATGGGCAGGCAGGGCCTGCAAGGCCGCGGAACGGAGGGACAGTGGCTGGGCCAAGCTCTTCTTATAGGAGAGCTGCTCCTATCACTGTCGTGATAGGAGCTAGCCCAGTAGGTTACCACACCAACCTCTCACCCGGCAGATACCGGGAACGAATCTGACATGCCAGCCTACTGGGCAAAGCTTCTTTTGGAGCAGCCCAAAGCAACTGGACGTGGCCGATCTCGGCCGCGCGATCCTCAAGATCGCACGGCTGAGATCTGTCGCGCGCAGATCAAAGTAGCCCCTGCACAAAAATGACACACATAAATTGAAAAAAAAAAAAAAAAAAAAAACTAAAACTAAACTAACGTGAAGCGCCACATGGCGCTATACGAAGTGCCTGGGGCACTTTAGTCCCCAGCCAATGTGACAGGCGCCCGTTGGAAATGGGCAGCCACGATTTAGGTAAGTTCTTTCTTTTTCTTTTTTAGATTCAGTTAGATTTTTTTTTTAGATTTTGTCTAGATTTTTTTTTTTGTCTTTTTCTCTTTCTTTTTTTGAGAGATTGCGTGTCCGTTCGTTCCAGCCGAACGGGCAGAAAAGAAAGGCACGATTGTGCCAGACTGTTTCGTCGGACTTCCACCGTCTCATCAGAAGGCTGAGCCTCGACAGTCAGTCAATCCACCTGAATCAGCCACACAAACGCGGTTGTATTCAGGCGGCGTGGTACACTCGGAGAGAGAGAGAGAGAGAGAGAGAGAGAGAGAGAGAGAGAGCGAGAGCGAGAGAGAGAGAGGGGGAGAAAAGCCTACTTATCTGCGCCCATTGGTTGAGCAACGGGCTGCAGACTGCCGCCTGCACCTGGCGCCGTAGGCGTCCAGGTACAGGCGCGGGGGCAATAAGGGAAGAAGACCCTGTTGAGCTTGACTCTAGTTCAACTCTGTGAAATGACTTAGGGGAGGGGGGGCCGTTCGTACTGAACGGTAAGCTGCCCCTGTATAGAAAAACCAGGGGGTAGCAGCCACGTACGTAGCCGTGGGGGTGGAGTAGATACAGTGTGGAGATTAGAAGGAGAAGAGAAAAAGAAAAAAAAGGGGAGTCACGAATCTAATCGCGACGCGGGTCCAGATGCAAGGGGTAGAAGCTTCTGGGCCCTAAGTTGACAGCAGACTTTTGGATTTCAACAGTCTACTTTACTTGGCTCTATACGGCCATTTAGGGCTGCGTCTGGCCAGGGGTGGCGGCCAGATGCATTACCAAGGCCTGGAACTTGGTTCCCCTAGGGGAACATCAAGTTTCTCAACCCTTGATCTCGTTTGAGATCAAGGGTCAGGCCTGACTCCGAGTTTTGGTTGGGGGCAAAGCAGCTGCCCTCAGCCTCCATCCAGCTATAAAACAAGCCAACAGCTAGCCAGCCAGCATTCATTTGTGGCTGGTGCTGGTGGCATTACGCTTGGTAAATGCTGGTTGCTGGAGGGGGAACTGCTGGTGGAGTAGGAGGAGCTGAGAGGAGCTGCTATTGGCGAAGGAGGAGGTCTGCAAGAGGGAGTGAGAGGTGGAGGTGGAGGCTGTCATGGCCACCACCTTGCTAGACTGAAGAGTATAAGGGAGATGTTGCGTGACTCTTTCGGCGGCGGCATCCATTTTTGAAAAGTGTGTAGGGGAGGTGTTGTCCGCTGGGCACAGTGGCTGTGCTTTTTTTGGTGGTGACGCGGAAGTGCTGCCGAAATTTTGCGGCGGCAGCTGTGTTTTTTGGCGGTGACGCGGAAGCGCCGCCGAAATTTTGCAGCAGCAGCAATTTTTAACATTGGTGTGAAAATGCTGGCCGGGTTCTACGGCGCCAACAACAATTTTAAGAAGTGTTGCCAAGAGAGGGTGTGCTTTGAGGTGGTATTGACGTTGTGTTGCCCACATATTGCGACGGCGACGCTTCGACACAGTGGTGGCAGAGTGGTATTGGTTGCAAGTGGTGACAACGCTAGGGCACTGAGAGGATCACGTGTCAATGGGCGATCCTTGAGGGAGCGGTGTGGATCACTTTTCTGACAGTCTACTGCGACGATCTTCTCATCTGGGGTGTTGTTTATACGACTTTCTTGCGTGGGCCGTTTGTTATCCGTGGTTCAACTTCACTCAAGGTCAGTTAGCCTGACCCAGTCCTCTTCACGCCTGTGTGAACCCACACTTGCTTAACCGTGTTCTTTGAGCATTCATTGAAAAGGTAGAGGAGATGTGTGCATGCGCGTGTGAATGGAAGTCTGACTTGAGAATGGGTTTGCATTGTTTTCTTTTGAACTTGTCGCTTGTTCTAATGTGCAGKTGAGTAGGAAGATGCTTRAGAAAYGGARACTTAAGCATGTCAGCGAAAGTGAATGGGATGATGATTGTTTTCTAATTTTCGCTTACATGCATGTTGAAAGGGCGACAGCAGACGACGAGGAACGGAGCGATCACGTAAAGGGGAAGAAGTGAACTGGACATAGATTTTTCCTGAGGTTACCCGTTCTTTCCCGAATGTYCCTCTCTATYTATGCCCRTYTGTCTAAATGYTGTCTTCTYTGTGACTTCCTCCTTCGTCTAGGTTYGCCCTTGACGTTAGGCGATAAAGGGCTSACTGCCTGCYRTGGTAAGTGCATTTCCTTTCCCTATGAGGYATCCGAGGCGGGGGTTSGTTGCCTTAGGGGCCGACCCTGTTAACGACTYGGAGTGGACCGCTTAGGCGGGGGGGKACCATGCTGTCGYRGTGGAGCCAGCCCGACTTCTRAGATCCGAGATTCGYTCGGGCGAGGACGAGGGGTATCCCAGACCACCTCCTAGGGGACRGRCRTGTGCTATTCACGGAAGGCGTTAAGTTCTTGGCGGYTCACGTTAAGGAGAAYCRTTATAGTTKAYCCTTCTAGTGGTCGTCTTAGGWGYCACAGACGAATGGGGAACTGGCGCCATAAGAAGCYCAGTTCGTGTGTACACTARCTATGGACGGAGTGCGACTAGGCACTGCCTTCGTGGACAGGTTTGCRCCATAAGAAGTGCAAGCCTGGGGTAATCAGGGTAGCTGACAAGAAGATGTGCCTAGAACATTGCTTTGAAAGTTAATATGTCGGAGGCRAGTACTTCGTYATTCGTGGAACARAAAGAGTAATTATTGCCYAGAAGGASAAAGCAGCCAACAAAATTTGAAGTCGGATTCCCGCCTTCGGCAGGGTGACMAAAATGTCAGYCGGCTACTAATTCGCATAGTGGTCGTCGGCTTACTTGTAGATGGCGTTCACTYCAAAGTTAGGAARGTAGTGACGTCATCACTAAAACAATKGCACTCTAACTCTRCTTAAGAGTCGGGGTGTTCATATTCCTTGCTARCACTCAGTATGGGGCGGGATGAAAGAACTTGGCAACGCGTCTCATCAAGTCGAAAAAGTCATGACAGCCCAGCCATCKGGCAGGTAGAGTGAAGATACTTTAGTCAGACGCCWTTTGAACATTGCCTTGTGTATAGGTCATGCCTTGATCTTTTRTTGATAAGCGTTGTTTGAGGTCAAGTCAACCTTTGTAGCATGTATGATTGKACCGATTTYAGAAGATATGTCAATTTACGTTGACCTGAATCGTTTCACGAAAGTGTTGTGCCTGTTTAATTTTTTGATTGCCTTTGAAAGAAGGGAGTAGGATCGCACGCAGTTTTCCTTACGCTTGGAATGTCACGTCCTAGTCGACCGACGTCGGTCCAATTCCTGGGAGATCAGCACCCCAGGGACGGGCGACGTTCGGGTCCGCTTTGGCGTTTAACCGTGCATACCTATGCTACAGCGAGCGAGCAAACGCCCTCGGTCGGCTTACCTCTGCAATTGCATTATAAAAGCTTTCGCGTGTGGGTCGGTAGCTCGGTAGGGATACGCCCCTAAGGGTGGTGACAGCCCCTTAGGGAAGGTAAGTTGTGCCCCGCGAGAACCTATCCTGTCGTAGGGGGCCGCGGGATGTATAGCTGGCGCACTCAGCCGGAGTGGCGAAGGGTCGACGCGAGTTGTCGCGTCGTCCCCGAGTTGTCTCTAAGAAGTTAAAAGACTAAGTTTCTCCTGCGTGACGCGGCCGGGAGGGCCCTCGCTCGCGCGGGGGCCGATGCGCTCGACAGGTGGCGCCATTGCCGGGGATAACGGCAGACTACCGTTGTCCCTGGTGGAACGACACTCGGGAATGAAGCAAGTAAAAGATCATGTCGTAATGGTTGTCTAAGACAAAAGGTTATTAATCTCTGGACCTCTATAAGTGTAAGGAAGGAACCTTAATAGATGCTACCAAACTCCTAGACTGATTTTTGGGTTTATGTTTTGGTCCCTAGATGGCCGCTGCCGCAGGACGGCGCGACAACGACGACGATGGGAGGAATGACATTCAAGAACTGGCACGGGTCATTCGACAGTCGCAGCGAGAGCCCTACCCTAAGATTGATGTTCCGTTGTTCGGCGGGAATCATGCCTCTTCTTGGGCAGATAAGTTCAAGCAATTGGGGTATAGCAACGAATGGACAAATGAGAAGATGCTTCGCATGGTTAAAAGATACTGTCAGGTGGGGTACCGGGACGAGATCGATGAGATGGTGCGAATCTCTCATGATTGGTCAGATTTTAAGGCGCGGTGGTTGGAGAAGTATCAGCTCAGCGATCGGTTGCTCGACCTGCAGGATTTGAGGGCGGTGGATCGTAAAAAGTTTGGTGCAACCAAACAATTCTTGTCGGAGTTTGAGCGTGTGGCTCGCCTAATCCCGGATTTGTCCAACAAAGATCGCTGCCTCATCTTCCTTGATAACTTCAACGACGTCGAACAGTCGAAATTGGTTGAAGGGATGCAAGGGAGGTATGACTGGACTAAGGTCCGACAGAATACGCTGGTGGGGAAGTTCGACGATATGCTCTACCGGCTTTTGAGGCGGCAAAAGGAGGAGCGAAAAAAGGTGAAGCTGGGAGAAGTAAAGGACGGTGAAATTTACAAAACTTTGACTTGCATGAGAGAAATGATGGAGGGCATGAAGGAGGAAAGGCTGAAGTTTCAAGTCATGTTGGCCAAAGAAAAAAATAGTAAGAGGAATGGGAAAGAGCCGGCGGAAGAAGAAAGCGACAGTGAGAGCGAGGAGGAAAAGGAGCCGCCTCGCAAGTTGACAAAGGCGGAGAGGAAGGTCTTGAATCAAATTCGAGGCGGACAGGGGACCTCCGATAAACAGGGGAAGAATAGTGGACAGAATAATCAAGGAGGGAATGGCAATGTTGGCGCTGGTTTGTCAGGACAAAGTTCCCAAGATCAAGGGCAGTTTCAGCCGCAGGGTGGAAGAGGCCGCGGTCGAGGCTGTGGGAATGGACAGCGAAGCCGTTGGGCATGGCAGCAGGAAGCCACATGTAACTATTGCGCAGAAAAGGGCCATATTATGCGGTTTTGCCAACTCCTTTCAAAAGATGAGAAGGAAGGGATAGTCTTCACCACTATACGTGGTGAAATCTTTGATTACGAAGGGAATTCGATCGACCCCAACATTGAAGGGGGTATGAGGAAGGAGGCGTATCGCCGAATGGGTCGTCCGCTACCGGCAACGTTCCGGATTGCTTCTCCTGAAGAAGCACGGTTGGCTGAGGTTGAGGAGGCCATGGCGTCGTTACGTATTGGCGATTCGCCGGTGGAACCAGAAGGGTTTAGGGAACAAGTGGTGGAACGAGCGCAAACCATCATTAGGCGGTTTGCCCGATGCCAGGACTCTATCATCCGACTTTATGTGGACATGGAGGAAGTCTGGCCTGGATTGCCGAATGTCTTTCTCTTTGGCGAATGGGGTGATAAAAGGGAAGATGCGCCTGGCCGAGCAGGGACGTCCGCTCCGAGAGAAGCATCGCAAACCAGGCCAACGGTAAGCACGATGCGACCTAGGCCTGTGCTAAAGAGGAGTGCCCCGACTGTAGCCGTTCAGCCTCGGGTGAGGCGACGAAATGAACAGCTTCAAAAGGAGAAGGAGTCTGAAAAGGCAGTGGAAGAAGAGCCTATTTCCATTAGTGAGAACGAAGAGGACAATGAGGATGAGAAGTTGCGGGCCGAAGAGGAAGAACGGGCTCGTTGTCGTGCACTTGAAAGGGAGGCGGAGAAAGGGAAGGCCGAAGTAAGCGAGGAGGAGCCACGAAAGAAGAAGAACATTTATTCGATCCCCGTGGAGCAGGGGGTCGATATCGAGCAACTCGTCAATAAGATTCTGGAAAGTCGGCGCGACTTGGTCACGCTGAAGGAAATTTTGGCGGTATCACCGAAAATTCGAGAAGACTTTAAACAGCGGATAACTCGTCAGAGAGTCATGATTGTTAAACTCGGCGAAGTCATTCCGTCGGAGGCTAACTGGTCCCCGCCTGGGACGAAGATGGATTGGCGAAGTGTGTCAACCGGCCATATGAAGGTCCAGATTGGACAGCAGGAATATTCGGCACTTGTGGATGATGGAGCCGAGATGAACATCATTCGTGAACGCCATGCCATCGAAGCCGGGTTGAAGATCAATCAAGATGATTACGGGTTTTTGGTGGGAGCTAGCGGATCAACTCCATTCTGCGGAACAGCCAGTGACGTTCTCGTCACGATCGGAAAAGTTAAGGTCCGTTTTTACTTTTATGTGTTACCTAGAGTGGAACACGAGGTGCTGCTCGGAAGGGCATTCTTATGTCGATCGGAAAGCATCATCATTAACAAGCATGATGAAACCATGTTTGTAATACTTTGTGATCCTGTCTGCGGTTATTACAAAGTGTTCAAGTGTGCAAACACTGGACCCTATTGCTCGCGGAACCGACTGAACCCGGAATCCTATAGCTTTCCGGAGTCAGAAAAGTTGAGAAGGGAGAAGGAATCGCTAGGGGAGGAGCTGAATCCTCGTGAGTTCTCGCTGACCCTGCCTGATATTGGGCAGGCAATCGATTTCGTGTCGACACATGCGGCGATCGATCCGAATGTGGTGCAAGCCTTGACGGAGATCATCACAGACACCGGAAGCGCAGGGACTATGCGCCTTGTTTACTCCCCGTCGGAAGGGAATAAGGGAGAAAGTCAGGAATTGCCCTCCACTCGACAGGGTCTTTTTTTAGAGGACCCAGGCTTGACACCGGCACCAAACGTAAGTACAAGAAAGTAGGCGTGAAGGCGAAGCCGGTGCCTGTTCTGATCACTCAAGAGGAGGAAGTCTATTATCATGAGGAACGCGAGTGGATCAGAGAAATGAAAGAGAGAGGTGAAAAGGGGTCATGTCGGTTAACCAAAGAAAGAGTGAAAAGTATGATCATTGGGGAGGAGGACCTCCTTACTAAGCAGGAAAAAGGATACATCATCGATATATTGAGGGAGGAACATCTCTCCTATGCATTTGATGATGATGAGCGAGGAAGGTTGGATGTCGATAAAATCCCGATGATCAGAGTTCATACTGTACCAAATGAGTCATGGAATGTAAGAGGGCCACGTTATCCGAACCCGGAGGATCACCGTAAGGTGGTCGCATACCTCGATGGAAAGATCCGGACAAAGGTTGCAGATTATTCTTACAGGCATCTCCATGGTTCTGTTTCATCAAACCGAATGGTACTCTGCGATGGATTCAGGACCTCCAGAAGCTGAATTCGGTGACAGTGCGAGATGCAGGAGGACTTCCACATGCAGACCTACTGTCAGAATCTTGTGCAGGAAGGTCTATCATTACCCTCATCGATTTATATTCTGGGTATGATCAATTCCCGATTTACACGGCGGATCGGCCTAAGATAGCGATGCACAGTCCTCGTGGATTGATCCATATGTGTGTGGCGCCGCAGGGGTGGACGAATGCAGTCGCCATTGTTCAGAGATATATGACGAGGGTTATGCAGCCTTATTGTCCTGACATAACTTCGCCGTACATTGACGACTTGGCTATTCCAGGGCCTCGAACAAAAGACCTGGCGGAGGTGTTGCCGGGCATTCGCCGCTTTGTCTGGGAACACATCAATGATGTGGTGAAAATCCTTCAGAGGTTGAAGGAGTTTAATCTCACGGCTAGTGGGGTTAAGTCTCGACATTCTATGAAGAGAGCAGTGATCCTGGGATTCCTTTGCGATGAGAAAGGTCGACAATCGGATGCGAAGAAGACTAATAAAATATTGGAATGGCCAACCCCTTTCAAGTCGATCACAGATGTGCGAAGTTTCCTTGGAACCTGTGGATTCTAGCGTATCTTCATCCGCAGGTTCGCCGCCAGAGTGGAGCACTTGCGAAAGCTTGTGCGCAAAGGCCAAAAGTGGGAATGGGGTCCGAAGCAGCAAACGGTCGTGGAGGATATCAAGGCTGAGTTTCGTGAGGGCGGATTGATCCTTGGAGTTCCCTTTTTCGATGATGATGAAAAACGTCCTTTTGTTATTGAGACTGATGCGGGGCCCACAGCCCTAGGAGGGGTCTTGGTTCAGAAGGATGCTGAGGGGCAAGAAAGACCCCTCAGATTTGAGAGTATGACTCTGAATGTTGCGGAGAGAAACTATTCCCAGTTCAAAAAATAAACTTTGGTCGTGCTTCACTGTTTCCGTATCTTTCGGAGTTCGGTAGACGCTTCATCCTGCGGGTGGATCCGACTGCATTGGCTCAATCTTTAAGGAATTATTCACCTGCTGATCCCACCATTGCACGATGGTTGACTTATATTTGGATGTTTGACTTCGAAATTGAGCGGATTTTGGGGAGTCAGAATCGTGCTGATGGGTTGAGTCGGGTTGAATGGGACCCAGAGGCGGATCAGGCGGAAGAGTCAGTTTCGGTTGATGCCTTTCTAAAGGAGGAGGAGTCGCGATTGAGTATTAACGCTCTCGCCTACCTGACTGGTGCAGCCACTCGGCATGGGAAGTCGATATGGAATGCTCCTGCCTTTCACGAGGTACGTTCAGAACTCGTGGTGGAGGAACCTTTCATCGAAGAGAACCTATGGGGCGAGCAGACCGCAGAGGAAATGATGAGGCTGGCTTTGACCGATGACATCGACCTTATGCTTGATCCGCTAATGATTGAACAGGGTCATACGCAGGCTGATGGCGCTTTCCCGACCGTTGGAAGGATGTCATGTATCATGAACTTGTTGGTTCATGAGGATCGCCTGAGGTTAATGAATGCGGAGGAAGGAGACTATGAGGTCAAAGAAGCGTTTAAGGAAAAGCAATACGAAGGGGAATATAAGAAGATAGGCATGTGGTTGAATGGGGAATTGAATGAAAACGAGGTTGATCCGGTTGTGCAGGACACAAGCAAAGGATTCGTTGTTCGTGACGGTCATCTCTTTAAGAAGGGTGCTGATGGTGTCCCAAAGAGGGTGGTATGCGGAATCTAACAACAGTTGGATGTGATCGCTGCGTTGCATGATGGGGTAGCTGACGGACATAGATCTACGCGGGTAACTTTGAATAAGATCCAACGTCTTTATTTTTGGGAAGGGATGAGCAAGATGGTGATAGACTTCTATAAATCTTGTTTCCCTTGCCAACAGAGGTCTGATATCCGGTACCTTGAACCCCTAAATCCACGTTATGTGGCAGAACCGGGTGCGGTGGTGCATTTGGATCTTTTGGTAATGCCACCTGGTATAAATGGGTACAGATATATCTTTGATGCACGAGACAATTTGACTGGGTTCGTTGATGGTCATGCCATTCGCGAACGTACTGGGTCAGTCTTGGCAGAGTGCATTGAGGAATATTACCTTCGTTACCCATTTGTTCAAGAGATTGTTATGGATCGAAGAGGCGAGTTTCGAGCAAAGGAGGTGCAAACGCTTTTGAAGAGACTTGGGGTGAGTTTCAGTTATACGACGAGAGCGCATCCCCAGGCCAATGCACCCGTGGAACGAGGACATGCCACCTTATCTAACTTGTTGGCTAAATGGTGCAAGGCGGAGCCATCAAGATGGCCGATTTATTTGAGGGCAGCCTTTTTCGTTGAGAATGTTACCATCAAGCGAATGACCGGGTATGCTCTCGTCACATTATGGTTTGATCGGCATGCGACTTTTCCAATTGAGAGTTTCCTGACCACTTGGCAAAAACAGGACGTGGAAACGAAACTTTCAACGGAAGAGTTATTGGAGTTAAGGGCAAGACAGATCATGGCGACTGGATAACGGATTGAGGATGCGGCTGTGTCTACTTCTGAAAGCAGGCAGGCTGACAAGGAAATATGGGACAAGAGGCCGCGTGTACTAAAAGAGCTGTTGGAAGTGGGAGACATCGTTTTGTTGTATGATATGTCGCTAGAAAAACAGTGGTCCAGAAAACTAGATAGTCGGTGGCTAGGACCATATCGGATCACTAGGAAAACAGAACATGGGGCATATGAAATAGAGGAGTTGGATGGATCTCGAAGTAGGAATTGGGTATCGGGTGCACATCTACGAAAGTTTATCCCAAGAGTTTAGTGAAAACTTTTAGAAGGGAAGGGTAAAGGAGGTAATTGGTGACATCAATTTTGGTAATCCTTCTTGCTTTCATATTGTGGTTGAGTTGATTCTGACTTTTGTCTTAAGCTAACCAAGAAAGTTGTAAAGTATTAATAAAAGCATTGAGATTGAGAGGTTATCAATGGGATTGTGACTCCTGTTGTTTTGTAATAATGAAGTTGTGTCTTACTGCCGCAGACAATTGTAAGATGACTATGATACTTTTCTCACAATTGTCGTTATGCGTGAGAGGTATTGAATATTGTTGTAAAGAAAAAGAGTGATACCAAAGGACTTTGTGAGATTTTTATCATGATTGGATGTTCATTGCAGGAAGAGTTGTGAAATGGCTGATGGATACTTATGTTATTACAGTATTCATCACATACATAAAGAATTATAGAACCTGGAATTCTTATGAAACTCCGGGTATGTGGTTGTGAATGAGAGATTTCTATGAGTACAAGTCTAAGGAGATGATCTGTATTTGGGTCGTATGCCTGACTTAACATGTGTGCTATTCATCGGACATGTGATTCAATTGCTTGCCATGCCTTGTGACTTCGTATTGTTTCGATTGTCATGCAATGAGGAATCGTAATGTTGTGAGCCCCATAGACGGTGGTGAGGCCTGCGCCGGAACTTTGTTCCTGGTCCATAGTGGGATGCTGTTATCCTTCCTTTCGGGGAGGATGACTGCACTATCGTCGAAGAGGAGGAAGGTGGTAATATGTTTGTTGGAACCTTGTTTGTGAGGGTGGCGATTACCGCTCGCCATGAGGGAAAGATTGATCACCTTTTCATTTGTGGTGAATGGGGTCACCTCGATTTATGGCCGGGTCTGATCAACTTGGGTCATAAGGGAGGGGTAGTTCAACCTTGCGGGTACGATACTAACAGATGTATGACACTCGAATCGGAGGGAAAGTGGTGAGGCTCGAGTCTAAAGCGGGGCCTGACATCGAGATGTTATCCTTTGTGGATTACACCACTCCTCGACGCATTCACAAGACATGAAGGAGATAAATCATGCATGACAATTAAGTTGGAGTGGGAATTAGTCAGACTGGACAAGGACTTTTGGAAAGGGTGATTTCTCTCTGGGATGGTGCCGGCACATGCTGTAGTATAGTGTGAGTACCCTTGTGTTTCATGGGGACCCCGGGTTAAACTCCTGACAGCGAGAGACATGCTGAGGTGTTAGGAATGCACCCCCATGAACATGAGAGGCCCAGGTTAAATTTCTGGCAGTATGTGCTGGATGACAAAAGACCCGCAGGGGGTTAAGCCTGACAAGACCTAGACAGGGGGTTATAGCCTGAAGAGAGTCCCATCAGGGGGATAAGCCTGACCCACCTATGAGAGACAAAAGGCAGCATGAGTGGCCGCCAGTGGGATGATGCTGGGATCATTCTTCTAAACTGTTCTTGTAATTCCTGAGGTTGGGTAAGGTCAACAGTGGATTCCAGATTCCGGGGAAAAACCTGCCAGAGGTTATTTCTGGCCTCATTCCAACTTCTGACTGAATGAAAGTGTTTTCGAAGGAAGGTTCGAAAGAATTATTAAAGGCTTGAAAGTAAGCCCTTCCCGTTGACGATAATGAAGTCTGCAAGGAGTATTTCATAAGAAGGATATCCAGAAGATTAGGCAAGGAAATAAAAATGAACGGCGGGAACGTTGTTCGTCACGTATAAGTATGCAGAATCTGGGTTAATTCCAGAGGTATTATGACTATGTAATATATTTGGTGAGGTCCTATAAGAACTTCCTCTTGTATTGCCTTATGGTAAGCGACGGGGACGTCGCTTAATGGGGGCGGGGAAGGCTGTCGGGACAGTAACCCCTGGAAGGGTTTCTGCCCGAGTTTTTTAAGGGCAGACACTGCCCGACCCTTGCTTGGGTTGAAAGACTTGATGAGATTGACGTGCCAAAGGTTATTTAGACCAACCCTATAACTGAAAGACCTAAGGCCTGATGTCGTTGACATAGAACGTCGTTGACGTGAGACGACGTCGACATCCGTTTAAGACAGCAGGAGTTGGCACTGTCATCCACAGTTCTCGACGAGGCCGCAGTAGTGTGCAGTCGTGGAAAAACTAAAGTTAGTTCTAGTCTACCTAAAATAATGTCACCCGCGCGATTCAGGGCCTAAGTGAGCTAAAAAGAGGTGTGCGCCGAGTATAAAGCCGCGACACAGGGGGAATAGGAAGGAGAGTTTAATTCTAGGGCCACGGGGCTTGACGCCGAGCCAGGGGGTTGATAGGCCGATGCCAAGGTTAGACGGGCAACCGAGCATGCAGGGCCGTGAGTTGGCGTGGCCGACAAGGCCACAGGCAGGCAGGCAGGGTTGGCAAGGCCATAAGCAGGCGAGGCTTGCAGGGCCGCAGGCAGGCCAGACCTGTAGGGCTATGGGCAGGCAGGGCCTGCAAGGCCGCGGAACGGAGGGACAGTGGCTGGGCCAAGCTCTTCTTATAGGAGAGTTGCTCCTATCACTGTCGTGATAGGAGCTAGCCCACTAGGTTACCACACCAAACTCTCACCCGGCAGATACCGGGAACAAATCTGACATGCCAGCCTACTGGGCAAAGCTCCTTTTGGAGCAGCCCAAAGCAACTGGACGTGGCCGATCTCGGCCGCGCGATCCTCAAGATCGCACGGCTGAGATCTGTCGCGCGCAGATCAAAGTAGCCTCTGCGCAAGAATAACACGCATAAATTAAAAAA